TATCTATCTATCTATCTATCTATCTATCTATCTATCTATCTATCTATCTATCTATCTATCTATCTATCTATCTATCTATCTATCTATCTATCGCTTTGAGATGCTGCATGGTATTTTTAAGAAGATAATTTATATGGGATAATTCAGAGTCTCATATCAGACATTCCTATTTAAAAGATTTTATACTGTTTAAATGTCTTTTAATTTAGCTGCTTTTAGTTCTTGCTCTATTTTTTAAATCTTTTTATTTTGTAGCACTCTAAGATCATATAATGCAAAGAGTACAAATGCAATCAATTATAATTATTAATTACATCAATCTATCAACATTAGTCACCTTCACATAATTATAGCATGTCATAATTAAGTGTTAACATTTTGTAATTTTGAAATATTATCTCAAATTAAATGTATCTCAATGCTATGACCAAGTAAGATAATATCTATCCCAAATGACTTATTGTTATAGAGTTATGACATCATCTTAAATGTAGATTTTTCTAATGATTATGAATAGTCTCAAACATATTAGCATTTAGATGTTATTTAAATTTATGGAAATTGGATAGCAGAAGTCATAATGGCAGAAAGAAGCAGTGGGAAAAACAAAAACAGAAATTATCTAAAGACTGAAGGGGACAAATGACTGAACAGACCAGTACTTAAAATTGGAGACTGCACATAGAAAAACATTCCACATGTATGTTGCTGAATTATTTTTGAAATGTGGCACTGTTAGATATAATCTGTTGGGAGTTGTGCTGGTTGTACAGCCTGACAGCTGCTGGGAGAAACTACCTGCTGTATCACTCGTTGCTGGATTTGAATGCAGCAGCCTGTCACTGAATGAGCTWTCCAGTGTTGGTCACAGTGTGGTTTTAAAAACAAACCTGTTGGTTTTTGTGGCTCAGAGGCATTTCATTAGGATTATCTGTCAACAAAATCTAATTTAATATTGGCTTAAGTTCAAATATTTTTGTAATATAATTTTATCAATACAAGAAAAAAAAAGATTTGCCAATTGCTGTTCTRAGAAAAGCCAAAACTAAACCAGTGTTGTATTAAAACAACTCTAATCTTAAATGTATAAATATAGATAAAATATTGCATCACATTTTTTTTACATTAGGGTTATTTGCTGGCACAAATAGCCATAGCAGCAACTAGCTTTTAGTGCCACCTGGGACACTTCAGACAGWATATTTCAGCTGGAATAACCATTTAATATAATACTGACAATGATGTAAAAGATTATAAAGTACGGTTTGGATGAATTACTGTGAGATTTCTGAGATTGGAGCGATTCAGTTTGGCCTTGGACTCACATTAGTTGTTAGCTCATCAATATGGTCAGAAACAAGCTTTATTTTTCCAAACTGAGGTCATTCGAAGAGCTATTTATTTTGATTAAAAAATAACTATACATCCAGCATTGTTTAACTTCTTATCTTTGCAGAGAATAAGCATTAATCCTTATAACTAGCACAAGCTCATTAGAGATTTGATACTCTGAAACATATACGCACATCTTTAATAATGGCACTCATTATGAAACAGTTTTACTCAAGTTTCAGTCGCCAGGGCCCCATTATCCTACAAACCAACTATAGATGTCCATGGCAATGTACTCTGAGCTCCATGAGAGTTTCTGTGACTGCAATCCATCTAATGAGATTCCTGAGTATCAAAATGCAGTCATCGTGGAGAGAAAAAGCTGCAATAAAAATAGCATAAATAAATGATAGAATTCAGCCAAGCAGAGTTAAAACAATGAAGACCACTCAGTTGGAACGGCTGTGCTGATAATTTGTAGAAAAGACTGTATTTCTTACTCGTAATAAAGAGTTTTGTATCAGTCTGAAAACAATGTTTTTCATCAGGCTGAACAGAAGAACATTATCAAGACGTCAGCTTTGGACAGAAATGTCCTGCAGAYGGTGTAGTGTGTCATGAAGGTGATGGGAAGGACTAAAAAGCCTCCGTCCAGGACTTATCGCTTATTTAAACAAGCACAGAC